CCAACCTCGCCCTTCAGTGGCTAAATGGGGACAGCAAGGTCCTGTCCCACTGGGCTGGAAGCCATCTACAACCCTGAGGCATGTCGGCTACATAACGAGTCCAACCGCCTGGAGACATGCTGCCGGGGAAACAAAGGCACCTTGTCCCATAGCATGGTGGTGAATCACACCATTATATCTCGCTCCCACGGCACATGCCCTATCAGCACCGGGAGGGATTTTGTGAATATTTGCCTCAATGCAAGTAGGAAATGAGCAACATTCCTGTTTTACGGAGGCAGAGATTTTGCTGATTTCACAGCCTCCCCAAAATGACTTGCATCTTAAACACAGATGCATCCTTTCCTAACCCTACAAAATACCCGAGCAATAACCTTTGGAGAGAGACACTGTCACATACTGAACATCACCCCGTTTCCACAGCTGTAACCCCCCCTGATCTTCATCATGCCACAGAGCCAAATCTTTTGCAATAGGACCACAATCCCCCACGAGACCACTTCAACAGCTGTTTAGCAGCATCTCCCGGCAGCCAAATGCCACCTGAGCAAAAAGTCCATCTTACCATGGGTTGAGCTGTCAGCCAGGATACGTAGCCATGTGAACAGAAAGAGGAGCTGGTGGTGAAAGCTGCCTGCTATAACTTTTCTGCTGCTTTATTTACTCACTTTAAGGGGAGGGGAAAAAAAAAAAAAAAATAAAAAAATTCAAGGAAGTAATGCTCCTCTCCCAAGGTGCACTGCAAAACATTCTTGGTAGACATGGAAACCCCTGGCAGGCTGCCATCGCTTGGCCAGTCTCCACATTAAATTTCAGTGAGCAACTCAACACTTGAATGGCTTTTAGAGAATTTAAAGGGAAACGGCAGCCGTGGACGGGTGATGTGGCTGCCGCTCCCCATAGGCAATCATTTGGGGTGTTTCTGAATTTGCTTTCAGCTCTGTGGGAAGGCTTGTCGTGCTCCTGTGCACAGGGCAGGCAAGTTATGACGGAGCCAGCTGAAAACAAATGCAGCCTCCGCACTTCTCCTCCAAAGGAGGTTTCCTAGCCACAGTCTGCAGGGACAGAGGGCAACCTTCAAATGACTCAAGGGGAGCTGCAAAGGTGAAGGAAAAAACATTTCACCACGTTTTGGGGATTAAACTGCAGGCAAAAGTACTTAAGAAGATTTATTCCTTCCTTCTCCTGGCTTCTTCACTCTTCTGGATCCCAGGTCTCCTCCCCTGTCCTGGGGCTTCCCTGTCTTTGCTCATGGTTGGGCTGAAGAGCGATGGGGAACTGGGAGTCTGGTCTCCCTGGAAATCTCCAAACACCCCTGAGAGCAGGCAAAAACATAGGCTTGGGACCTTGCTGTTGAGGGGGAAGAGCAAGGAGAGCAGAGAAAGCCTGGAATTGCTTGGTTGAGGCCATGGGATCCTTGGGGGGTGGTTGGATAGAGATGATACCACACTTGGGCAGGGAAGGAGACACTCCATCTTGCCCCAAATCTGTTATTCCCACTCATCCAGGAACATATGTTCTCCATGGCAAAGGGCTATTTCTCTCCAAATGCTGTAACCCTGCACAGCACCCATCACCATGGCTTCAAGGTGCTCTGAAGCACACAGAGGAAGGGAAACGGTGTGTACCCAGCAGAATGAGCGGTGTAACGGAGCTGCGACATACACAGAAGTTACCCACTGGTCTGGTCTCAGATTTTCATCAACGGTGACTGCAAACAGGTTTACTACATGTAAACACATGCAGGACACACAACTTCTCTCTTCAGGGGCCTTCTCACGAAAGACACTTGCCTTAGAAATCTCGTTAAGAAATCCTAGTTACTTGGCAGACATCGATATCAATAAAGCCAGAATAAAGCAAGGACATTCCCCTGCTCTCTTCTTCGCTCTTCATCTGTCTGCCCATCGTTCCAAATGCAGGCAGATAGCAAAGAAGCCCCAGGACGGGGAGAGAAGATGAGGCAAGCAACAGCCACATCCCCTTTCGGTGGATTGACCCCTGGGGCTCTTGCTGCTGCACTGAGCAGAGTCTCACAGATGAAGACGGCAATTTTCTTCCGAACAGCGTTGTCGTGCTTTTGCGTAGCAGCAACGCCGGCACCGCAGCGATTGGCGACGTGACGTGTTTAGCAAGAGCCACGTTTCATTTGTTTCCCAAGAGGATGCCAAAAGGCGCATGCTATAAATAGGAAGCTGACAAGCTTAACAGCGCCTGTGGTTTCACTGAGAGATCGGTGGCCATCCACTAATTGGTGAGTGCATAACAGCATGTGCAATGTGGGCCATGAGTAACCTTATCCAGTGAGGGGTCATTGCTGGTAGGTCTGTGTGGGGAAAAAGGCAACAATTTCCCCTCTCTGCAAAGCCCACTTCCTCACTGTTGCTACATTCAGGAGTGTCGCAACACTTTTTTCTTTTCTCTACAAAATATGCAGCTTAATGGGTCAGGTCACCAAATTAGAAGTAGATTCTTGGGTACAAACAGTTATTTTGTCCTCCTTGTCATAACAAAAAAAAAAAAAAACCACACTTTAAAAAAAAAAAAAAAAACCAAACAAAACAAACTCTGAAAGATCAAGGGAATAGAAGGCCAGCATTAAATCTTATAATTTAAGATCCCAGCAGGAGATTCTGCTCTGACCTACTCCAGGTATTTTCAAATTGTCCCAAGGAAAGAAGCTGAAATGAAATTACAAAGTGCTAGAAGGTCTGGAGTCTGCAGAAATCTACTTTTTTTTTTTTTTTTTTCCCCTTTAAACTAAAGGAAGCACTCTGCTACACTGACCCATATATAGAATAAGAAATCTGGAGGTTGGAAAAAAGAAAAAAAAAAAAAAATCAGGTTTGTTTGTGCTATTTTTGTGTAACACTTGGCACAAATGTTTTCCAGCAGCAGTTTGATGCCACAGCAGGCCCGGTTCATGAGCACACAGAGAAATGTCTCCCCATCAGCTGCAGGAAAATCACAGTCTAATTTGCTCAGTGCATTAAAAAACAAAAGAAAACTCCCCAAACCCCACACCTCTTGAGAAGCCACAGATAAAAGGATGGGAGCAACGTTGAACTCCCAGCTCATGTGCAAGGCACTAATAATAAACTGCACTCTGGAAATAGCAACCCAGAGGCTTTGCGAGCTTATACTGTGTTTGACCCAGGGCACAGCAGGTGCATTTCCATAAGCTCCTCTTACACAGACTAGTACTAGTTCTTCAACAATGTTTTTCTACAAGGAAGAAGCAGGACCAGCAGCCCAGTTTGCCGTGGATTTATGCCCTGTGGTTGCATTCGCTGGTGTCTAGCAAGATGCCAACCAAAGCTCCCCATGGCTCAGCTGGTCATAACATCTCTGCCCAGGATAGATCCTCTGGTGTCCTGCAAGAATTATCCACATACTATCCTTCCTTCCGTGAGAACTACAACTGATTCAATTTTTTTACTCAATGGAAAACCTTTTAAAAAATTCAACGCGCAGAAACTCAGTATCTCCCAGACCTTTATCCCTCGGGCAATTTCAGCTGAATTAAAGTGACAACAAAATTTTAAAAGTCCACAGGAGGGAAGGTAGGGTGGAGGGAAGAGAGTGACAAGCAAAGTATCATGTCCAAAAGTCCCATTTCCTTAAAAAATCAAACTGAAAAACATTAAAACCGGCTCAGTGAACCACTGCTTAGGATCTGAGAGCCCCAGATTGGGTTTTCACAGGGGGAAGGAGGACCAAGGTGCACAACTTCTGAGGCAGATGCATAATTCCCTGCCTCAATGCTGCCACCGTCTGTTGTCTGATGATGACACCTCATACAACAGCATCCCACGTTCCCTTTCCACTGTACCTCATTCTTATGTCAATATTCCGAGCACACAGTTTCCCATCATCTCATGTATGGGAACACAGCAAGCAGTCACTGAGAAGGTCTGCAGGGAGCAAAATGCAGCAAAGAACCGAACAGCTGCTTTTCCTCCGAAGCAATGCACGTGTTGGCATCGTCCCACCCTCCTCTGATCTTCACAGTCTGATCAGTAATGCAAACCTTAAAGCTGGCCTGCCTATTTGAGCTTGTAAAATATTAATTTGTTATGGAGCTCTTTTTCCTGAAATTGTGCTTAGTTCTCAGAAAGCGCTAGAACACGGTAGCAGAAGTGACTAGACCCTCCTGGATCTCATTGCTTTTCTTGCCTAAAATGCCAGGCTTCTCCCAGTAAAGAATACCACAAGAAATTATGAGCATGGGAAAATATAGTAAACCTCGTTCATCCAGTCACTCTCCTCCTGACCCACTTTTTCACTCTGTGGCTGGAGGTTTTCTTTGCTCCTTGTTGGAAGGACAGTCCAGATTAGAGTCCCACACTCTCTCAAACCCTCAAGCTGTGTTTTCCTTACCCATCTGATTCAGATCATTTTCTGGAGCCCCTTGAGTAGAACAGAGCCCAAGATGGTGGCCCTGCAGTTTTAGCTTCTACAACCTGCTATGCACATGCTCATCCCAGTTGCCTTCAACTCCCTTCACAGCTTAAGTCTGGGTGAACTTCCAGACTGTAGCAGTATATCCACAAGATCCTTCAGGGATGAAAGATGCTTTTAAAATCCCAATACTCATCTCTAGTAACACCGGACTCTGCTAGCATAGGGTAGCTATGATGCTGATGATGCATCAGTTTGGCTTACCGCCCTTTTTCATTAGGGGAAGAGAATTCTCAACAGGCCAGGAGAAAAACAAGAGCAAGAAGAGAGCTGGAATCAGTCAGGCAGCTGTAAAATTTAAAAAAAAAAAAAAAAAAAAAAAAAAAAAAAAAAAAAATGCAAAGCCAGGGTCTTAATGAGTGAATCGTCTTCCTCTGGGGGAGCGGCAAAAGCTCTGAGTGCTACTTTGCTCCCTGCGTCTCCCCCTTCACAAAGCCCAGCTTGAGGAACAGCAGAGCAGTCTGTAAGTGACACCGGCCTAATTAATTAATGACTCCCCGGCGTCAGCTCTGTGGCTGCTGGGTTAGAAAGGAAAGCAGTAAAGAAGGGCCGGGACAGCACGCGACTGCTTCTGGTAAATGCTGAACGCTGCCGAGAGCTGGCTGGGTTATTCATAAACCTCCCCTGCTTTGGGCCACAGCGCAGAAGTCGGAGATACACTGGGAAGAGAAGATGGCGTGGGATCCACCCTTGCAGCATCCTCCCTCCTGGGTGAGGTCTTCCTCCCTCTTCTTGTCCTGCTCGAGAGCTGCCATGGCACAGTTAATCGAGGTAAGGAGCAACTCGCTTTACACGCTAAGGGTTGGGGGGTGTCCAGAAACGTGTTTTTTTCCATGCATGTTACCCAGGGAGGACAGGTAGGGCAGACCAGAGGGAATTTAAGGTGGCTCCAAGGAGTTAAGAGGCTTCTTTGGGAGATGCTTGTTGCTCTCTACGGGCCCAGCACTAGCAAGAAGGTGCTTTTAAAATGCCAATAGCTGCTGCTGAGGGCAGTCGGCACTTAAGGGCTGCTTTAAGCCCCAAAGAGAGCTTGACACAGTGCAAAGGGCCAGAGTCACAGCACAGCATTTTCTAGCCCAGTACTGCATGTCCAACAAGTGCCCCATATCAGAGGCTCAGGGAAAGAAGAGAAGGACCAGGCATAACCCGGGTGATCCTGTCCCTGGATGCTCCTGCCCAAGCTAAACATTTGGGATGCATTTTTCTCCTTCTGCCTTCTCTCATTTCCTCTGCTTCAGCCAAAACATTAACTTTTGAGGTGGTGTTCCTCACCCACAGCTCAGTTTCAGAGCTTTCCCCTGAGGATTCCCCCCGGCCCCAGCTCCCTACAGCAAGGCTTGGATGAACCAGGAGGGAAGAGCAGCTTCACAGCTTAAAACTTGCTGCCAGCAGTTTCAGAAGTGAGAATCCTGCCTGGGAGGACAGCCCCACAGAATTATAGCTGCCAAAAATTTGGCAGCACAGTCATTTTCAACCTCTTCATCACTTTTCCTAAGGCCTGAGCCATGTTAGAGGCAGCTGCTGTGTTGGTCCAGAGTCAGAGCCCCAGTGTTGTGATGCTAGTGAACAACATGTTCTTGCAGCAGAGCTTGCTTTGACCAGATTTCTGGGCTTAGTTAAATGGCTTAAAAAAAAAAAAAATGCATCTGTGCAGGCATAGCTGTGTTAATAAGAAAAGATTTTTTTTCAGCATTTTAAAACTTCACCTCCCTGGCTGCCCTGCCCCTCGCCTAGTCTCACACTGAGTCAGGTCTGATCTCTGCAGCCTTTAGTCTGCAGATTTTAGCAGTTCATCATCAACCAGAGAATTACAACTGTGCTGAGTTCATATCCCCACTTTGCGGTCCATCTTCTGCCCTGACCCTCTGGTCGTCTCATTTTAATGTTACTTAATTCAGGATTTTCAAATGGGTCTACCAATCCATCCCTATCTGACCACACTATAACATCCTCAGCAAGGCAAACAAGAACCTGAAACAAACTCATACACACTCTGCTGTAGACATTTTTCACCTTTTTTTTTTCCCATCTGCTCAGCCTACAGCAGCTCTCAAGGTGACAAGTGAGGCAGAACTTTCTCTTACAGTGCACATTTCACGAAGCAATGCTTCACTGAACCCAGGGCAATGTGCAGACGCAGCATCCACCCCACCAGGAAGATGCTCTCTTTCATTATGTTTCACAGACACACACTTTACTGAAACTGTCCTCATGCCAAAGCAAAGATAAATGGCAAAACTACAAAAATTGTTATAAAACAGGTGTAATTTTATGGTCTGCTTTACTCATACCAGATTTCTGGAAAACTTGTCTACTTCTGAAAGCACATCAGAGGGAGCAAATGTCATCTGGAAACACAAACTGTGTGGCAGGTTAACTACCAGGTATCCAAAAATGAGATTAGAAGACCAGTCAGTTTCTGTATTTCTAAAAGCAGATGAATTACAGGCTGCTCCAAAGCTCTGCAAGCACTTTTTTACTTCAAATAATTATACAATGTAGTTATCCTGAGTAATTCAATTTATGCTAAACCAGCCCACCAAAGCAGAGAGAAGGTCAAAGGGACTGGACATCCGAGTGTTTCAGTGAGCTCAAAAAAAAACCCAAACCAAAAACCCCTCCCAAAACACCACCAAAAAAACCACATAATACGGACAAGTAATGAAACAAGAAGATGCTCTTGTTTAATGGTGTTCAAGTGTTTTCAAATGTGCAGATTGATGTACACTTTTCCACTTAGAAGCAAAGAGGCAATAAAAGCCTCTGAATATTGAATCTAATTGCATTGACAAAAAGCTTTCCTCTTTCACAGGCCTTTTGGAAGAATTCTCAGTCCCCCAGGTTGAAAGTTAACTGTCCAAGGATTAGCAAGCTACCCTGGCACTGGGTAAATTTGGAATTAGCTCCATGGGCTGCCCTGGCCACTGCCCCTTTTGGTGCACTGGGAGCCCTCCTGTAAGGTGCCTGACAGAGGGACCTCCTGCACCTCCCCAGGAGCCCCTTGCCCAACCTCAAGTGTAGCTTGTACCGGTTTATGAAGAGACACACCCATGTATCCCTACTTGGGCACCCTTCGAACCTCCATATTCTGACCTTTAAAATCTCTTCATATGCTCAGACATTAGCAGGTGCTAGATAAACAACCAGAAGACTTCAAAAAGCTTCGTTTCCAGCATCACACCAATGCTCGAGCACCAAGAAGTCTGAAGAAGCAAATAGCATGGATTTAGGGTTTTTTTCCCCCCCCTTGCACAGGACTGCTCAGACGATGCATTTAGCTCCCATAAAATAATACCAATTACCTGAAATGCATATAACACTGGCCCATTCCTTAGATTTCCACCTTCCCCATCATTTGTCCGCGAGCCCCAGCTAGAATAAAGTCTGCATTTCAAGAGACAGGCAGCTTACACAGGGAAGGAGGGACAAGGTGACAGTACAGTTCATAGTACTACAGGTTTTGTCCATCAGACTTTCAACATGCCCAAGGGATGTGCTGGAAACAGAATCAGAACAAATGAGGGAGGGAGGAACATCAACATTTCCAGTACATCTAGATCAGAAATTTGCTCTTATAAAGATCAATATAAACACCACCACTTCTTAAATTCGGCCCTCTTTTGGGCAAGAGCTGAAAAACAGCATCACAATGTTTTATGACTATTTTGTCATCAGCTTAAGGATTAGTCTGCCCTTCAGCATAACAGGAAAACCACCAGGGCTTTGCTTTGGGAAAGCATAGGGAAATCTCTATGCTTATTTGAGCCAGTTTGTTGATACTAAGGACTGATAAACCATCTGGAATGGATCACATTTCTCCAGTCATCCCCATATGGTTTGTTATTGAATTCCTTACTGGCATATTTATCTTCTCATTCCTATCTCAAGGCTTTTCTCAGCCCTCATTTGGTTTACCTGGGTTTTCTCCTTTGTTATAAACTTTTCTGTCTGTCTGCAGGTACCTAAAGGAGGGAATCAGGATAGATAAAAAAAAAAAAAAAATGTAAAAAAATAAATAGCAGTCTGTTTTGTAGGAGAGGTTCATCTTGTTTTGACAGGGTTTAGGCCCATCAGCCTCATGGGTTATCACAGGGCACCCTGGCCCCAGATGTAATGCAGTTCTCATGGAGAAAACAAACACAGTGACCTGATCAGCTTTTAAAAGACTTGGACCAAGTGTGAAGTTGGACCCTGGGATGGGAAGGCACGTCAGGTGTTTGGGATGTAGCGTGTGGTTTAGTCAACGATCTCCTTATTGAGTCCATTCTGCATCTGCCAGACCTTTATTAAGCTCTTGGTCTCTGGATTGGAGTTTGGATCTTCTTATTCAGGATATTAAACTCTGTCCTAGGAAGTCACAGAAAAGAAACTCTTCAGAAGCTTTATCAGACTAGAAAAAGGTTCCCCTTCTCTCTACCAAGGTAGGAATTAAAATAAAGATGCTTCTGATCTCCTATCAATTATATCTTGGACTCCTTGGAAAAGCTACAACATAAAAGCTTTCAGATGTTTTCCAAGTCCTTCCACTTTCAAATTGCCATACAGAAAAATGATATATTTGATACACAGGGTGTTAGGTGGAGTTCAGATTGTACTACACTTAGCTATATATTTTTGGGCTAAGGAGACAGTAACCCTCATTTATAGCCTCCAAGTGAATATGATGGATGTGATGCTGTATGTAATAATCTAAATATGATCATGTGTGATCGTAGTTTAAATGAAGGCAGGTAAAATTACTGAGTAGTTATAGTGGACTCCTGAGGTTGACTTCCCATGTGTATGCATAGATTTAACTCAATAGCTGACCAAAAAAAGAACAAACAAGGAAGTAATAGTTCAGGAGGACATACACAAGCAACACAAAAGATGATCCGAAAGACAAGTGTTAGCTTTAAGAATGGCACCTTTAAGGAAGATATCAGTATTTTGGGTCAGCTAGATTCAAGATAATATAGGAAAATATAAAAGCCATTTTTTTGGAAAATTCCTTGTCATGGTCTGCTGAGGAGACAGGCTGAAGAGAGAGGGATGGAGACTAGATAGGATGCAAAGTCCTGGACCCACCCAGAACCAAACCCACATAAACATTAAGGAAAAACTTAGACATGATCTCAGAGAATTTTCATTACTTTCGGAGAGATTGCATCCATAATTAAATCTATTGTCTCTGCTAATAAACAGCTATGTTAAATGCTACAGCTATACTAAAGAGGCTGTTGTGTGACCGCTGCTGTCCTCAGAGGAAAATAGGCACCAGGGTTCAATGTGAAACTGTTGTTTGTAGGACCCTGAACTGGTCCAGATGTGAAAAAAAATGAAGTTGTCATTGGGAACTAGGGAGGCTGGAGGTCTGAGACCATCCAAGGGGTCCCTCAGCCCAATCCAGAAGCAGCCCTGGCACAAGCAAGCCTCACAACCAGGGCAACAGCTATAGCTACATCATAATTTCTCATTAACTACTAGATTTATCAGCTATCACACTTAAATTCAGTCATCATGATCAGTTATTTTTTTCCTAAATGCATAATCCTATTATATTGGCCCTTGACCGGTGAAGCCACAAATCAATTATCACTACTGTATTTTCAGTGTTGCATCTGGACTCTGCCAGGGTTTCCCCACCGCTATGGAGGATTTTGATGGCCTCACTAGATAAGTTTTGCCTGCATGAAAGTCAAGTGTCAGACTGTCCATCTTCTGACTTAGAAAGAGGGGAAGGGAAAGAGTGTGCTTGTGCATGTGTTTAAAGCTCAGTTCTCCTGAACCAT